CACAGTAAATCAAATGTAAATCTACCTCTTTATTTGTAGGAGGGAAGGTCACAATTTGATTAGAGTTACAGATCATGAGTTTCGAACTCCAGAATTTATTTTTGGTTTGTATTTTAGAGCATAAAAAGCAGGGTAAACAACACTGAACGTGTCGGACTGAAACAACACATTTACTAACTTTTTGTCTTTTAACGTATTCTCATACCAAAGCCCTAATATTTTGACTTGTTCTGAGGGAGCTGCCATGATTTAGTACATTTCTGGGAACCTGTTGTGCTATGTTGGTGCTACTGAGAAGAGTTTACCACCCTGCTGAAGGCTTAGCTTTATCACACAGGGAAATGAGATCATACTCAACTGATATAACAATATATTATTTCAGGTGTTGCTGTTATTGTGTCCACACAGTGTATATCAAATTAGTGAGACACCATTAAATGCCATGGTTTTGTAACTTTTATGCAAAACATTAATGGCTCTTAAATCTAACTATCTCTGTGATACACAGAAGACAAAGGGAAATTAACAGTTCAATATTCAGTGTATATGACCATATTCACGGGGTTCTATGTGATATGAAATTACACCAGATCCTACATACAGACCCATGTAACAGGGGAAAAGGAAAGGAAAGCAGTGCTCTGTTTGATAGAAATGAGGACAAGAACTTGTCTTTCTGTCAGGTTTTCTATAGAAACCATTCTATTCATAGATAAAGCAGATGAACCCAATGGCCTCAATCTGCAATCTGATTTTTTCCTGTTATGTAAGTCATTTGTTCATCATGCTGTCAACCCCTTTTAGCAATGTGAAAAATCATTTTTTTACTCTCTACTGAAGCTTAAACAAATCCTCAAGTTTTGGGGAATGTATTACATTCCTTTTAAGTAATTAAGCGGAAACTACAGAAGGTGTACTGTTCCACCCTGCACAAAGCAAACATGATGCTTGTTTCTCTCTTCTAATGACAAGTACAGTTATACCTCGCACTGGCCAGGAGACATTCCTGCAACTAATAATACTTGACAACGGAACAGTGGGCACAGAAGATTTAGTTAACGTCACAAGGTAGCACATTATAGGATGCCATTTGTTTGTGGGTACAACAAGATTATTCAAAAACCATGTATGTTCTAGAGAGAGAGAGAGATCTCAGTCTGAACTATTTCTCCCTCCAACATAGAAATAAATAAGCATTTGCCTATTGCATACCTAGCTGAAACATGTTGAGCCTCATAGGGTACACTACCAGAAAGAGTTAGTCCTCATCTAGGATGTGTGATGACATGTGACACCTTCATTTCCTTGGGCTCACAGTGACATTTGCTCTTCTTCTCAACTAGAGCTTGATGATGAACTAATAAGATTACAACTCTGTGTTTGTGTGTGTACTACATAGCGCTGGAGTTGTTGGAGTGAGTGTGTGTGTTACCTTGGCGAGGGAGCGGACAATGGGGCTCTCCATGATGCCTCTGAGGAAGATGAGGTCAATATCTTTGGTTCCTGTGCCTGATGGCAGGTCTTTCAGGTTGTCCAGTACCTGCTGCATGGCTGAGTGAGAAAAATACAATTATTAGACAGCGTGCCAACCACTCTCTTTACTTCTTTTGAACTTAAAAATGACTGCTCTGTGAAAGCAGGCAGAAATATTGTGACAAATAAAGCTCACTGCAAGTAATAATGAAAATAATTAAAATTCTCAGCCAATGAAAACACTGATGAAAAAAAACATCAAAACAATGTGACTATAATAAGAGCTTACAAAGCAAGAACAATAAGTGGACAGTCAATCAATGGGCCAATTCACAGAGAACATCCCTTATTTCCATTGCAGCAGCAACAAGCACACAGAGTCACAAAGGAGTTGTTTTACTAACAGTGCTGCCTTGTAGAGGCTGAGAGCACACATCAAGAAACTGGAGCCAACGAATCCTGACACATACAGCTAGTCCATTAGCCTTTTTTGAGAGTTTGAACATAGAAGTAGACAGCAAACTAAGATCTGACAAGACAATTAACAGAAATTCAATGCAATCACTATGGAAGCAGAAACATTTTGCTGTTCATGTGTTCATTTGTTTTTTGCTGTGTGGCTATTGGGACAAATGTGAAAGTTCACACCCACACAACTATCTCTGGGCAGTGTGCTCATTACCATTTATATGGTAATGAGATGTCAAATTTTGCACACAACATTGCAACAGTTCCAAAACATTAGTTAGGACATCTGTCTTTAGCAGCTTACCTGTGCCAGACTTTGCATTGGCCACGGTCATGTTTAATATTCCTTGCCTCGGGACAGTGAAAGTCTTCTTAACAGAGTCAACAGCCGTCCAACTGCCCGCTTACAGAAACCAGAGCAACTGGAGGGCTGGAGAAGGTAGGAAACCCGCTCAAGTAAGTATACTGTATGCTAAGATCCCCACACTGCACAAGCCGTGACATGAAATTAAGCAAGCTGACATTTACTAACATGTGTTGTTGTTGAGCAAATGATGCAGACACATTATTCAAGGATGAGACACAATATGGCACAGAAAACATTTGTTTGTCTTGGTGTTTTATGCACATGTTAGCACAGAGGGCTCTTCTGAAATAAAGGAAAGACAAAGAGGGCCATTGGGTGAAACAGGATGATTCTCCCATGCTTCTGGCTAAAGGTTGTGCCAGTCACACACAGAGAGGCCCCTGGGTACAAACATGACCTCCAAACAGAGTGAAGCAAAAACAGACCGGCCAACGCCTTGGTGGGTAGGTGGACAAACAGAAGTGTGGGCTTTTTGAGCATAGGCAGCCCTGTTTAGCTGTAAACTGTATATCAGAAATGCACTATTGTTCTCCATCCGCACAATGTGGACAAAAGAAATGTGGACAGTAAGAAGGCAGATAATCACCCAGAGCAAAAAATAAACAAGAAAGGCACAAACTCACCTACAAACTGTGTTCAAATCATCAGTGCAGCGCTCCGACACGGAGCCCCACGTTTTCTATAAACACTCATCTGGTACCTCTGGACTAAAGAGAGAATGAAATCACATTACTCTTATAATTTGGTGAAAATATCTTAGACAACCTAATGCAGGTTAGTAAGCCCCTCTCCTTCCCAAACTGCCTTCATCTCACAGATTCTCCTCATCCAGTAGTGTTTCCAAATTGTACAAAAGTACATCAAGACTAATTAATAATTTTACCAAACCACATATCCGTTATGATTAAAGAATAATGCTGTGTTAAATATATATATAAAACAGAAGGTAATCTAGAAATTAAAGCAACCACTCTGGCCTGCACCTTCTAATACCTTAAATCAGAACTGTTTACAACCAAACAACCAAAATTACATATTTAAAGATTTCAAGTAACTTTATCCAATTATAGCTGCTGATGATGTTAAAATACAATAATAGCAGATTAAGCCAAATCGGGCAGGCCACAATATGAGCCGATATTAGTCTATTGCAGGTATCTCGCTATCTGTGTATTGGTCGATGAGTAACACGTTCATTTTTCAAATGTTATTGTATATAGGTGAAAGGAAGGGCGCCTGTAATGCCATTATAGAACTATATGACACCAGACTTCAAGTTTCAAGATGCAGAAGTGTTAGTAATTGTGACAAATGATTAGTGAGATACCTCAGAAAAGTATATTGCTTACTATCACCCACTTTGAGCTAATTAAAATTCTCATTAGTTAGAAGCCAGTGATGAACAGTAATGAACGGGGCACAGCTGGCTTGAGGCAGTTTCACCACCTACACCCGATCTCTATCAAACACATGTGGAGCAGCCAGGTGATAAGTGAACGCTAGGTGCTAATGGTGGCAGATAAGTTTCTAAATAGTAGTTAGCCACGGAAAGACACCAAAGTAACGTACAGTGGAGCTAAACCAAAGCCTTAAAAAAACGTGTTTGCTGTAACTTAGTGGTCTAAGTTTGCTGTCAAGCTAACGTTACACACGCACTTGGCACGTGTAATCTCTTTCAATGTGAGGTAATTTAACGTTAGCTAAGAATGGTGACGTTGGCCAGCCATTTGTAGGTTATTAGCGGTAGGTTATTAGTTAATTTCAGTGTTAACACATAACGATTAAAAGTTTCACTGCGGCTACATGATGCCAGGTCCTCTAACGTTAATTCAACCACTGCCCGTTCTCTGCGAAGTTGGTGCTAGCCGCCGCTAGTTTATGGCTCATTATCCAGACAAACGCTAGCAAACCCTGGCGTACGCCTAACTTCCACATGTGGTATCTTTCAGACTGAATAAGCGGTTAATACAGACTAATAAAGATGTTGGCAACATTAACCCAGCTAATTTAGCTTGTTAATGTTCTCGTGCGATGTAAGCTAGTAGTCATGATGTACAGTTAGCAGCAAGTCCACTAATTAGCTAGTAGCTAAAAGGAACATCATGTGGCTCAGACTAGCTATCGTTAGCTAGCAGGAACAGCGATAGCCGAGAAACTAGAGGGTCCCATGGTGACCGCGCGTAAGTATCTGGTAAAATTATTGAATTATACATTACCTATTTTTTTGAGTATCACCCAGTCACACTTTCATTATTCCCTTAACTTCAGAGTTTCCTAATTAGCAGATCACTTGCGTAATAGTAACGTTAAGTGTTATTGCATTTCTAGTGCCTGCTTGAGCCCGTTGCCTCAGTTCCCCGTCCACACACACATTGCTATGCTAATGACATCCAATGCCTTACAAGTAATATCTAATCCTGCACAACCCACCGTATAACTTACTGTAAACGTTACAAACAATAAAATAAAATACTGATAGAAAAGGTATGTATAAGGTAAACTGCATCCATGGTTCCCATCAAATCCAATGACCCCTAAACGTACTGTGAAATATCCTCTGGCTGCGTTTTATTGTAGAGTGTGCACACTCACTGCAATATTGTGAGTTGACAGCCCAGTGTAACGATATGGTCACCATGAATTTAAAACATCCAATCGTCTTTTAACCTTATTTGTCCAACGACCAGGATCTCAAATCTGTAGATCTGAATATGAAATAGAATAGATGTGCCAATAGATGAAAAATTAGAGAGATACTGCATCTATTAATTTTCACCACTTATAACAGATTTCTTTTCTTGCTCTGGCAAAACATAATGCCACATATCAATAACTATTAATGCATAGCAGACACCATAAGAATTAAACTTTAAGTATACACTTACCCCATGAGGAAGATATACTGTAGATCTTGCTACCATTGACAGCACCTTTGATCTACTATCCCCACATCTGGCTACAAATAATCAGATTTACCACCCATCAGCTGCTGAAGCTTCTTTAAAGAGGACCAGATTTGCCAGCATGCATATTATAGAGAGCCAATAGCTTGGACCAGGTGTCATAACAGAGTTAACCAAATTCTCAGTGTTACGTACTTGCTTTTGATGTATCCAGGTCACTTGATAGGATTAAACTGTTAATCTGTTTTCAGGCAGGGTTTAGGTACATCTCAGCAGGCTTAATATAACAAGTGAAATAAATGCAACACTTAAGTGTACTCAATTTACAGCTAATTTCTATTTTACTCTCCATCAAATGGTTCACCAGCAGCAAACACGAATTATTAAATATTTTTCCCACTTGAAAAATGCTCAAAGTATTTAGATGCCAGTCCACCAGTAGAGAGCACTGTTACTCCATCAGTGAGTGACACACAAGACCAACATGAGCAGCATAAAAATGTGTTTTAGTGGCATCGTCAACATTACAGACCAAAGTGTTTGCATTACTCAATGTTTATTCCATGCAGTACAAGTTAATTTACTGTCAGTAACAGACATAGCAGCTGCTTTGTGGTAAAGTCAGCCAGGATATGACAGCTCCAGCAGCATCACCACAGTGGCAGCCCGTCATACCTAGAACATAAGGAAGTCACAAGTTAAGTAAAAAACATTAAAACCTATGTACAATGTTTCTCTGTCTCCATTCACATACAAGAGGAAGAGGGTGCAAACATCTCGTAATAAGATTCACTCAATACAATACCACAGCTCACTACAAACTTGAGAATCAACACTTCATTGGCGCAGTGTGAACATGTTTTAGGATACAATACTATACGTTATACTGCATAATATACAACACAGATTAGTAAGATAAAATTAAAAAAATAAAAAGCTTTACAAAATGTATACAAAGCAAGCTGCACTGCAATAATTTCAAATAGTTTACCCAACATAGTTTGATCCTGGAATACTCTCTGTGCTCTCCCTCACCAACACATCGGAAAATACAGTATCTGGGTTGTCTCTTTTCCCATACCTGTGCATTAAAAAAGAGGCAAGCAACATATCAGTACTTATTTGCTTGTACATTGAAAACATTATGAATAGTATTTTAAAGAAATTCAAGAACCAACCTCTGTCTTGTAATGAGATTGATGTAGTGTCTTAGTGCAGAATAATATCTGGCGAGCTCCTCAGGTGGTGCGCCTTCCCGGGGACTGGCAGGCTTGGCTGGATAAGCATTAATGCCAGAGTGAATACAAGCCAGCAGGCAGAGAGCCAGAATACTCAGGGACATCACAGCGCTGGAGCGAATCCTGGGTCATAGGTAAAATGAATAGTCAAAATGCATGATAAAAAATAATTATTCAATAATATCACAACACCAAAATCAGAAATAGAAGCTCCACCATAAACACTGCCAGATCCAACATTACTTGACTTTAAATCAAAAAGTGAAAATAAAAACATTGCTTACATTATAATGCAACACTTGAAAATATTGTAGCTGGCTTTCTTGCTGTTCAAGACACCTCTGTCAGATTCCCAACATTGCCCGTGTTTTATACAGTGTGTCAGATGGGGAGGGAGGGTGATTTCATTCACTTTTAGGGTACTCCTGAGAAATATCTACTGCCTCATTAGTTTAGTCATCACTGAATGTTGAGACAGTGAAACAAATACAAGACACACAGTTACATTAGTGTGCAAAGACCAAAACATGTAAGGTGTCACTGCATTAGCTTCATTCAGTTGTTAATTATTTGACTAGATGGTGTTCTAAATTCTCAAATTAAAACATTGAAAAGCCCTTTGTGGGATTAATAAAGTATGTCTTCTTTTCTCTTAATTGCATTAGAAATTTAATGCAGATGGTCAACATGTGTGCTTTAATTATTCCTGAATCACAAATTTGTATTTTTTTCCAACATAATCAACATTTTTGCAGCAAACAATTAGTTTAATTATACATAAAGTCACAGAGGCATGCATAATTGATTCATATCAATTTGCCACATTGTTATTTTATCCTTAATTGTTCTTGCTTCTATATTAAGTGCACTATGAAGGCCTTAAATGTTTGAAGGGTAGAAAAGAGTACACTTGATCACAACAAATTGCCCTTTTGTTCAAAAATACATTTTAATTATAAGTGGAGTGATGTTCGCAAAGTACCGGTACAAGTGGAGGCACGCTTTATTAAGTTAGAGTCCGCTTAAGAGCCACAGCCAGCATGACAAGTCTCAATAGAACCGACGATGTGTAACTTGGCTGATGGTGGTCGGTTGTTTTCACATTAAGTTGAAATGCGTTACGATTCCCCAGCTATTTGGAAATATGTTGTTTTTGGTTTATAGAGAAATGCAGGGGGGTCTGTATACATTTAATGTGTTAGTCTTAATATATAATCCAAATGTTAGAATTAAAGAAAGGGTAGCCTTATATATGTTATTAAATAAAAGTGTCTTTATCTGCGCAGTCTAAAGTCTACAAGTAATTCACTTAGTTCTTAAGGGTTAGCACTTACTAGCCAGAAGGACAAATATAGTCATTTGCACTTACTAGCCAGAAGGACAAATATAGTCATTTGCACTTACTAGCCAGAAGGACAAAACAGCTTCTAAAGTCTCAAACTCATTAGTAAATGTTGTGAATATAAATCCATTGATTGCTTATCATGTGTCTAATCTAAATGAATGCAAAACTGTGGCCCAACTCTACTTTAAATTCTACTGACTGACATACAGTTGTCTTAAAACAATAACTGAAAACATTTTGGCCAAACCAGCAAGCATAGCTCCAAATTACACCAAATACAAGAAAGGGCTGTAAATTGCTCAAACCCATACATTTTCAATTCCAGATGATAGGGGGCACAAAAAGCTTTCAGCCCCAAAATGGTAAGATTAATTTAATGGCAACTATTTTCTTTGAAGAGCACTCTGAAGAGCACACTGAAATTTGACAGTAGATTGGTGCTGTTGTTTCCAATGACATATCATATGAGAACTCTATTCCAGAGCGAGAGCACAGTCTTTGCAGGAACAGTACACACAAAACTAAAAACTTTCACATTAAATACCAAATATCTGGACATTGTACACCAGAATGACTTATTTCATTCTGTAAAAATTGTTAACATTTTAATATGATTTCAATAGCACAAATCAAAGTATCACTCCAAGATATCCTGTTGACAGTTAATACAAATGTGTCATGAACGCTCCAAAATGTCTAGAGAGCAAAGTAATAAAACACTAGCAAATAGAAATACATTGGATATGCAGTGAAGAATATCATTTCTACAAAAACAAAAGAAAAATATCTAAATAATGAACCACAACAACACAGAATTATACTTTACTATTATATACTGATCATACATTTTTTGAGTCACTGGTGTTTATTATTGACTTTTACTATTTCTGAAGTAATGGATGTGCTTTATGGAGAATGGTCAATAAGAAATGCCTGGTTAAAACACTGGTCACATCAGCTTGCGTAATTCCTTGCTGACAAAAGAGGACCAGGTGGATAAAGCACTAAGAGACCTTTAGTGTCATGTCGGATACAGTTGATGTGCTCTCTGGTAATTGTTGTCATTAACATCCTCCACTGACAGAGACTGCAGCCAAGTGCAAACCCACCTTCAGGACACAGACTAATATCCAACAACCTAAATACTCACTTCCTTCACATGTTTTTTTAGTGCAAATACAATGCTAGAATGCTAACAGTATAGAGGGTTTATGGGCTTTTATCTGAGGATTGAAGCTGAAAGTCATGGTTGGGGGCTGTAAAGATAAATTACTTATTTCCTGCCAATTGCATACCAGGGAGGGATGAACAGCTACCGTTTAATTTGCTCTTTTTTCCGTGCGACATAAGGTTGCCATGGACATACACTGATGGAATTATATCTGCAAATTAAGCATGGTAAGCTTTTTACTGTGTTTCCACTTTATTAGTGCCATTAAATGTTAAAAATGTGGTGTACCTACCTCAACTATGCAAGACAGATGCTCTGCTACTGCTGTTTCCAAAAGCTAACTAATCTGCCTTTATTCACAAGCTCCTCCATTATAGAGCATATTAACACTATGGTCATTAATGGCTGCACAACAGCGGGTAAAATGGCTGTGCAGCTGATGAGAACATTAGCAACTTTTTGAGTCAAACACAGAACAAATCTTTTTCTGTTACTCTCCCTCCACGGCCACTGTTAAGCAATTATTGATGGCTTTAAAGCTGTTGAGATTCACTATTATCATTAGTGTGAGTCATTCTTAATTTTCAGAACATGTAAGTACAAACAACATCACTGCAAGGCTCAAAAACATTTAAATACCAAGTCCTGTCAGGCTCTGTGTAGGCATCTACCGCTTCATTACATTTTTACATTTAGCTAATGTTCTGATCCAGCATGATTCACAAGTCAATGAAGCGCAATGGTCACTTGCTAGGAAGTCGTGGGTATAGATTGTGTGTGTATGCATGTAGTTTCTGTGACAGTTTGCCTTTCTGTGTTCTCTTTTTAATTTGTAATATTGCCTGCCAGGTCTCTCTCCTGGCAATTACGATTGGTCAGTCACATTTTGTTTCATTTGTACTTTTTTATGTTCAAATAAAACTTCACAAAAGGACGAGAACCAACCGAAATGTATACTTGCCCAGACTCAACCCAACAAGAACACGTAACACAAAATCTTTTTAAAGATATTCACAAAAACACCCAAATGATAACTAAACAGTTTGCAAGGGATTAAACAACCTTACTATGTTTACCGCAAAATTGAGTATGCTGCTCTAGCTGATACTCTCTTCTACACTCCAGTCTCAAAACAAATGATGTTGCGAAATCTGAAATCTACCTCCAGGCTCTGATTCTCCATACAAATGCAGGTATTTGGAGCTTAATAAAAGGAAAATGTCACATATTAATGATAATGTATCAGTGTATTTCAACAATGTTGTGGGAGAAACTTTGTCTTATCAAAATCAAAACACAAAATTTTTTGGGACTAGCGTAGCATGGTATCCTAAATGCTGGTTATTTGCCAGACTGCACAGTTACAGACTGAGTTACAGTCTTTCAGTTGCAAAAGTGCTGACTGACCTACCTATGTGTGTTGCCATCACTGAGCAATCTTTTAGCACATGCTAAGTGAGTGCATGTCATGACTAATACTTTCAACAACAACTTCTTTTCCTGTGGGAGCAATTGGCTTGTTTGATTTGGTTTAACGCATCAACTGGAGTGACTTGTTTTGGTGACCCCACAATCATTTCTTTGCAAAACTGTGCCTAAAACTTGCTCTTCACAGAAAACAAACCAGTGAATGGAAACAATTCAGTACAGAAATTGAATATTTCCTTTCCAGGAGACTGCATTCTTGGTCTCCACAACATTGTTTTAGGTAAATATATTAAAAATTATTTTAACAAAAAAGAAAAAGGGACCACTCTTTGCCATGAGTAGTTTTAGTTTTAATGATTCTTTACTTAAGTACTGCTTGAATTTGGAATGCAAGATTTCTATTTAGGATGTAAACACTCATTTAACTACTGGTTTGTTAAAATGTTAAAAAATAAAGAAGACTGACTTGCCAATCTGTGGCTACAGCAACATTACCTTTTCATGCAGTAATGTACTTGAACTTTTTCATAGTGAATATTTTTACATGCCTTTATACAACTAAAAGGCATCTTGTCAGAGCAACTATTTACTTTGCAGGAAATGTGGCTGAGTAAAGACCCTGTCACAATAAAAGGAAAGATTTAGAGAATACTTCTACAATATCTAGAATTGAATTTAAATTCACTTTAATGATCAAAATATGTTAAAACATATATATCTTCACCAGACTCAATTTTACAAATACCCATCAGATGCCCTGTGATGGTCAAATTATCTGAAAAGGTGTTGCTTTTCAATCCATTTAAATTTCTCAACTTCAAACACAAACCATGTTATTTTTTTGTCCAAAGATAATTTAAGGGACAAACAAATATAACCTTTTATTTCTCCTCACAGGGATGGGAAAGGATGCATCCAAAGTTACAAAGTAGTAGTAAAGTCTGCATGCAACTTGATTAGTCTTGGTTTGTCACTTTGTGACTTCAGCATCATATATAAAGTCCTCTGGTAGCGTCTCAGCAGGCATCCTCTTCAGCTGCTCATCAAAGGTGCGGAGAGTCCAGAGTTTCTCCAGTTCGTACACTTCTCTGGTCTCTGGTAGCATGAAGTGAACAACCATATTCCCTGAGACAGCCAAAGGAGCAGGAAAGTGAACAGCATTAACAAAAACCAGCTTACATATCCAACTGTTTAAATTGGACATTAGTTTCACATACCGAAGTCAATACACATCCAGTCCTCTGCATCCTTTCCTTCAATCTTGACATTTGGCTCTCCATCATTCTTCAGAAACTTGTACTGGAGAAAAATATATTTTTTATGTAAATTTTATAAATAAACATGTTGCATATCAACATTTTAACAATGAGAAGATCACTATTAGTTACCACTTTGATGGCATAAAGGGCCATTGCACGGAGGTGTCTCGGTGATACACCGCTGACAACAATGAAGTACTCTGCGTATTTGATCTGCTCTGGTACTTGAATCACACAGATGTCCACTGCATTTTCCTGACGCAGCAGAGAAACCAGCACATCGAGAGTGAATTTCTCAGAGGATCCTGGAGAAAACCAAGGTTGAAGATTTTGTCTGACATTATTCAAGCAATAAATGTGTGCCAACTTTACTACCGTAATTGCATGATAGCTAGTAAAATGCTATTTGTGTTGAAACAGAGAAAAGCCTTCACATACAACAGCAA